CTTAAGAGTATGGAGATGGAGATTAAGGCTAAAAAAAAATAAGAGAAGTGGTTAGTTGCATATGATGAGGAGTAGAATGAAGTTTAAGCAGATGAATTTGGGTAGAGCTTAAGATAATTGTGATTTGAGTAGTGACTCGAGTGATGAGGGTGGCAAGAAGAAGAGTAAGGGATGGGACAAGTCTAGCAGTAGACGGTGTTACAGTTGTGGTAAGATTGGACACTTTATTAGGTATTGTCCCAAGAAGAAAAAGGAAAGTAAGATGAGAGGCTAGACGAATTTGGCATTAGGGTCGAGTGATGACCCTAGTGAGGTTTATTGAGTGTAAACCTAGTTACTGCATTTGCATCCATGTGTAATCCTTTTCTTCATGTGTGTGATCGCTAAATTCTGTTACATGATTATATGTTGCATTTTAATGTGTTTGATATGTGCATTGGTATGAATTTGAGTGATCTTATTACTTGATGTAATTGTTTGCATGCATAGTGGGTTGGGATGCATTGGCAGTGTGGTGTATATCTCTTGGTAAGGTGGAGTATAGATGCCTAGAGGTACATTGGTGGTTTGTACCGGGGATGTGGAGTGTGACATTTGGATCACGAGTGGAGAGGTGATTTAATGTTGGAATCATTTATCTGTGAAGAGACCCTAATCAGGTGGAGTGTGAGAGATCCGATTCTATCACTTTTATTAGGTGGAGATCCATTATTTACATAGGTTGGGAGAAGTGATGTGGTAATAAAGGATTATCCCGAGAACTTAGGATCTATAGATGCTTACCGTCGACATGTGTTGAGTGATTAGTCTAGAGAACATGGTGGGCGATGAGGTGAGATATGTGTTCTCAAGGTCTGAGCAACACAGAATGGGGTAAGATAAGTGTTGTGAGATCTTTTCGTGGGGTCATTTATGCATTTGTTGCATATGTGTTGGTCTGTTGATTAACTTGGTGCTAATATGTCGTTCTGTGTGAACATGTTTGAAAAGATCTATGTGTTATCCTATATATGATATATCCATCGCATGTCTATTTGCTCTTGATTTTTACTATGATTATCTACTTCTACTTAGGTATTTTTGACCTTAGCCCTGGTGAGTACATGGAGTATGTATGATATGTGTTTCGGGTCCGAAACACGAGGTAAGGTCTGTGATTCCAATTTTTTTGGTTATCTTGATTATGCAAGTATAAACTGTGTGTTTTGGTTACTTGCAGATTTATTGGGAATCAAGGTAGAGATTTGTTGGGTTTTGATACCCAATAAATCCCGGGCGATGATGTTAAACCATTTTATTTTGGATTATACTTCATAGGTCTCGGTCGATGAGTGAAGTGAAATGTCGATATCACAATCGAACAAACAAATCACACAACATATTTGGGTCATTTGAAGTAACCTAATTAAATTAGTGTTACTCATGGCTCGACCCATTACCTTGGATGACTTCTCGGTTAACAACCCACTTATATGATATCTATTGGGCCCCTATTTCCTATTACCCTAAAAGCCCACATTTGGTACCTGATTTATGCTCCATTGTTACTATTCTTAGAGTGTAGAATTGGTTTTAACTAGCCATGTGTTTGAGAGAAACCGTGTGCCTCCGTCCCTTCATCCTTACCTTCACGTACTCTTGGCTTAGTGCTTTGTTTCTCTTCTTTCCTTTAGCCTGTGTGGCTAATCCAGGAGGCTATAATACCATCCACTCCTAGTCCTTTGTGGGCAAGACAAGAAGCAACCGATTTTGGGAGATAGGTTTGGGTTTTGGGTTTGTTATTGTGGTGTCGATTGTTAGTAACTGAGCCTGGATTTTTGGTTGATTGGAGCCTATTAACATTGATTTTCTCAAATGCTTACTTGATGAGAGATTTAAAATCAAGGATTTGGGTGTACTTAAAATATTTTTTGGGAATTCAAATAGCAAGATCTGATAGAGGTATCTATATATGTCAACAAAAGTATGCTTTAGACATTATATCAGACTCGAGGACAATACGGTCTGCACCATCTAGAATACCTTTATATCAAAGTGTCAAGATTTCTAAGACATATGGGAAGGTTCTTACTGATCCTACAATCTACAGAAGGCTTGTTGGTAGATTATTATACCTAAATATCACTAGGCCATATCTTTTATATTTAGTTCAACTATTAAGTCATTTCATGAGCGCCCCTAGGATTCACCAGCTAAATGCTTCTCACAAAGTTTTAAGATAAATAAAGAGGGCTCTAAGATAAGGGTTGTTATTTCTTGTTAATTCAGATTTACAATGCATTGCCTATAGTGATTTGGATTGGGGATCATGTCTAGATACATGAATGAATATAACAGGTTGATGTGTCTTTGTTGGATCCTCTTTGATATCATGGAAATCTAAGAAACAAGATACAATATCTAGGTCCTCAGCAGAGGCAAAATATAGGGCCATGGAAAATGTATGTTGTGAGTTAGCTCAGATATTTATTTAAAGACTTAAGGATTGGTCATCCACAAGCTGCTACTTTGTTCTATGACAACAAATCAGCTCAACATATAGCAGCAAATCCAGTTTTCCTTGAGAGAATGAAGCACATAGAATTCGATTGTCACTTAATACGTGACAAAAATCAGAAAATGTGATTACTGAACATGTTAGTAGCAACTCTCAGATTGCAGACTTCTTAACCAAAGCTTTAAGTTCTAATCATTTTTATCAACATATGGACAAGATGGGACTTATTGACATCCACTCTCCATCTTGCGGAGAGATTAGCGATGTCAACGAGTCGAGCCGAAAAAAAAAAGCTCGAGCCGAGCCCAAGCTTTTTTGGACCAAATTTTTTTTGGCCCGAGCAGAGCCGAGCCCGACCAAAAAAAATGAGGCTCGACCGAGCCTTAGCGGGCCGAGCCGCTCGAATTTTTTGATTTTTTTTATATTATTTTTTCTTAGCTGCCTGCTGCAATATGCAGGTTGCAGAAGCTGCCTTAAAAAAAAAAAAATTTTAATAAGAGGCTCGCCTGGACCACGGGCCGGCCCGCCGACTCCCCAAAGTGGGGCTAGGCCCGAGCCTGGCCTCGGTTGAGTCGGGCCCGGCTCGAGCTTTTTTCGAGTCGAGCCTGAGCCGTCCGAGCCTCTGAGCTTTTTTGCCACCGCTAGGAGAGATGTTAAAATTCCGAGCTTAGTTATGTCAAGATGCAAGATCAACAGTGCTAATGTCAGCACCAACTAATCGAGAGTGGCAAATTAATCCAGAGTGAAAATCAAGATCTGCAGCAAGGAAATAATCTTCTAGAAGATGCAAGAAGGAATGATGATAGAGGATAGAAACAAGTGGTGCAAATGGGATTATTTTCTGTTAGCATTTTTTAGTTATAGGAATTTTTTCCCGGCCACCAATCAAATTTATATTTTTGTATAGCAGGTGGCATAGTTTTTTCCTTCTAAATTTTTCTTACAGACTATATTTGGTCGGTTGTACCGATTCATTTAAAGATAAGAGAAAATAAATATTTCCTCACTCTCTGTTTCTGCTAGCCTTTATTTCTTCAGCTGGTTTTATTGCTATTTCATATAGAAGGTTAGGAAGCTGGGGTGTCAAGAAGAGATGTCAGCTCCAGCTCCAGCTCAAGTTCATTTAACTACGCCCCAACTCCTCCACCAACGTCAAATAATCCAGTGCGTAAGGATCCTCTATAGTAGGCGGAGTAGTTGAGGTGAGGTGACACAGCCGAGGTGGAGTTATTGGTGAGGGTTTCATTCGATGAAAGAGAAGAGGGAAGGAAAGCGGAAGGAATGGGAAAGTTGAAGAAAGAGAAAAGGAAAGGAAAAGGGAAGGAATGAGAAAGTTGAAACGATATGATACGTGAAACACATATGGAGTGTTAGAAAAGATATAGTACGGCGTCATTTTGAAATCGATTGTGGGAAAATGACTTTTTGAAATGTTGAGAAAAAAAAGAGGCAAAAAATGGAATAATAAATTGGAGGGCATGGTTTCTTAGGAGCAGTGCCCTCAAAACTGGCTTTTTTCTTTTATAGTAGATGTATCTAAAGTCTTTTACTTTTTATTTGCACTCAAACCAAACTCAAGTTCATCCCTAATTTTTTTTTTCCAATGCACATACTACATTTGGCATATTTTTTCCATTTTGTACAAAGTAATTAGTTAAGATTACGACTGCTTGAAATCCTTTTTTTGAAGAAACAGTTGGTAAAATACAACTATTATGTGAATCATGTTCTTCATTAAATTTTGAAGCCAATGTATGTTCATTAATGTTTCCTCTTTAATATATGTGTGTACATTTTAACGTGCTTACTGATTAAATTTTGAATTTCACCACATTCAATTTTTTTTTTAAATATCCCTACATATATTATGGTAAAAATAAAATGCAAATCATAAAATATAAAAATATCTATAAATTAAAAAATATTCATTTATCGATAAATTATTCATTTATTGATAAATTAATAACCTCTCTAAAATAATAATTTTTCTCGATTCCAACATTATTACTTTATAGAGGTTTTAGTGTATATTAGAGCATAATTACACGAATTGACTCCCTAAATATAGAGCATCTTACTGCTAAAAACTCTCTTAAAAAATGCCTTATAACTTCCAAATCAAGGTTATGACAAGTTTTTTTTTTTATATATATAAGAAATATTCTATAACTATTTAACCCACATCTTGATTTATTTACATCTTCAATTATTTAAGGGAATCATTTTTATTTTCTCATATAAGTTAAAATATTAATTATTAAAGAAGTTGGTTTAACTAATTAGGGTATTAAATAGGGCAGATAATATCAACGGTGCAGATTGGCTCTGATGTCATAACAATGAAAATCTTGGGGAAAAAAATTGCGTTCAAAATAAGGTTCAAGGAACCTCTTCATACACCACTCCGCATGAACCTATTATTATTTGTAAAAGCACAATACAGATTGCCTCTATTTTCTCACAGTCAACTCTCCTCCCATCCACACTCCTCCCACCACCCACAATGTCTTCAGATTGTGAGCCCTTGATCCGGACACTCAGCCACCACCACTCCACCCCCACATTCCGATGGCCAAATCGTTGCAAAATTTCATTCCGGAGGAGAAAACTGGCTACAATCCGCCTCGGTGGGAAGAAGTCTCGTGGCAGATTCTTGCTGATGAGAGTTTTTCGGCGAGTGAAAATGCGATGGTTGAAGTTGAAGCAGTCGTTTATGCTTAAAAAGCTCAAAGAATATTATCAAAATTTGATAAAAGATATTGTTGATGGGAGTGGTACAATCGAGTCATTCCAACAGAGGTTGCTTTTGGAGACATCTTTTGCCATTCCTGTTATGGGACATTCCTTCAATTCATATCCTAACAATTTTTGAGTTATTTCTGAACTGCAGAAAATGTAAGAATGTTCATATAAATAATTAAATAATGTTTTCTTTAATTTGTTTGTGTGTTTATGTATGCAAATGTATTTATTAGCAGTTGCATGCATGTTGTTACAATTTGGCATTATTCTTGAAAATAAATGTTGTATACATACATTTACAGAGTGAATTATATGGAGGTGGTGGTGGTGGTGAAGGTGGTGCGAGGTTGTAGAGGACTGGTGGTATGTTGGAGATGGGGGTTCTGAGGATGGCCAATGGGGAGGGACAAGACTAAAAAATTATGTTAGGTTGAGCTAAATTATATTTTGAAATGGACGAATATACAACAGGAAAAAAAAATTCAAATAATGTTTCTTATTTTCGTATAATAGGGGGAGGTGGCATCTTTAGCCTAGGGGAGTCGACCCCTACATCCTCCCCTACCAATGGTTGAGATAGATTTTTTTTTTTTTTTCTATTCCACGTCTAATAAAAAATGCTTGTGTATATCAACGGAACAACTAAGGATGTAAAATGAAGACACGAGTATTCTATAGTGACACTGTATAATAGTTGAAGGGATGTGAATGAATTTGGTAGCGAGATAATTCTAGTAAAAAAATGTTACGGGTTCAATTCGTGTCTTAAATGCACTTGAATTGAAAGTTCGAAATCCAATAATTATAGATAAAATTTAGTCGGTGTCCAACCTGCCAAGGGGCAATGTTTAGAGACTGCAACTGCAAATTTTCTATTTATGTGTATATTGTACATTATGGTTATGTTTGGTACCAATTCTCATTTTCAACAGTAAATCAATTCTCATTTTCAACCACACATTTTACAATAAAATAATATTTTCTATTAGACTCTCAAATGACTGGTGAAATTTACACGATTCATTTAATAAGGTGAGGGCAAACCTCCCCCTCACAAGACGGAATTGTTAGGTTGACTTATGCTCAAAATACTTTAATCAATTCTTCCCCTAAAAAATCCCCACCAAACACACACTATATAGCTGTTAAATTCCTATTCATTATTATTTCTTAATTATAAATATTATATTTTCATGTAAAAATGTTTTAATTATCTTCCATTTTCAGGAAACTAAGGGCATGTTTTCTTTTCTTTGCTATTTTCAGGTTATTTTCAGTTTCAATTTTTGAAAACACTGAAAACATGTTTACTTACCTATTTTCAAAAACGAATTTCCAAAAACGAGTTTAAAATTTACAAAAAAAACGAAAAACACCAAAAAAAATCACTTTGGCTTTTTTCAGTTAAAATCAAGCCAAAACTTCTTTTTGCGCTTTCAGCAATCTTAAAATGGAAACTAAAAACACAAAACCCAAAATGAATTCAAAACTCAAAATTAAAAACTGAAACACGAAGAGAACCTCCCGATTTTAAAAATTAAATTACTAAATGGGTAGACAGGATGAGTCATGATGTGCGATGTCGGTAATAGAAAACGAAATATTAGCAGTACAATAATATCAATACAATTTTTTATTTTATATAATAAATTTCATGGTTCCTACTTATGCCAAGAAACTAAATAAATAATCTTGATTAGATTATAAAATAATATATTTTAAAATTTCTATGTAAGAATACGATGTTTCGTGATATACACGTCTGTTTGTTAATCTGTCTATGTATTTTTAAGCGTGTTTATTAATGCAAGTTGCCCACGTAAAAGCTGAAGTATGAATTATGGTGATTATATATATAATTTTTAATCAAAATGCTCATATAATAGCTAAGAGATTGTTCTCTTAGTGTTTCAGTTTTGTATTATGAGTTTTGAATTCATTTTGAATTTTGTGTTTTGAGTATCCATTTTGATGTTGTTGAAAATGTGTTCTTTTTGGTATTTTGAAAAATTATTTTGAAAACACCCAAAACGCGTTTTGAAAATTTTGGCTTGATTATAACTGAAAACATCCAAAAAATTTTAACTTGTTTTCAAAAATGTATTTTCGAAAATAGGAAAGAGAACGCGTTTTCACTATTTTGAAAAATCAAAAACAGAAAATGGCCTAACTTTTTTATAAATAATAACGAATTCATGTCAGTAACACAAATTACAAGAAAAGATAACTAAAATTTAAATTTATTGATGGAATTCATGTTGAAAAATGAACAACTCCTTCAAGGTTCATAAATGAACTTAAGCATGAATTTAATAGGTTGTTCTAAAATTTGGCTTTATTTTACTTGATCAATCAACTGATTTAGCCCGAATTGGAGACTTACTCAAACTAAACCGACGTTCAAGATAACATGAGAAATTAAAGGAAAGTGCCATATGAAAATGGGAAAATTTTATGGATTTTGCTACTTGAACATCAAAATTATATATAAGAGGTTACATAATATGATTTGAAGGGAAAAAATTGGATAAAAAGTTGACTGTGTTTTAAATTAACAAATGATATAATGCCGCGTGACATCCAAATTTCATTTGGGTCCCTAACCTTCTCAAAAGTGAAAATAGGCTCAAACGTTTTATTTTTTACAACGCTGTCCTTATTCTTTAGAATACTCTAGTAGACTTAAGCCTATATTTGGCCAAACACAAAGATAAACCCATATCTCAATTGGAATACTCTCAAATAATAGACAGTTTAATGTATATTACAAACTGCAATCGTCCGGACATTGTGTATGTATTGAACTAGTTTAGTAGATTTACAAGTGACCTAAATAATGAACATTGGAAAGCATTGGTAAGGGTTTTCAGATACCTACGATACACCTAAAATATTAGATTACATTATACTAAATATCCAGTTGCATTAGAAGGATACAGTGATGCTAATTGGATATTCGATATAAAATACTCAAAATTCACTAGTAGATATATTTTTACCATTAGTGATGCGATCATATTTTGGAAATTCTCTAAACAAATGTGTATAGCTCGATTCGACGATGGAATCTGAGTTCATAACTTTAGATAAAGTTGGAGATGAAGCAGTATGAATTCATAATTTTTTAGAGGATATTCCACGTTAGCCTAAACATATGCCTGCAATTAGTATGCATTGCAATAGCCAGTCGGCTATCTGTAGGGCACAAAGTAGTATCTATAATGGTAAGTCTTGTCAANGCTATCGGTAGAGTACAATGTAGTATGTATAATGGTAAGTCTCGACATATTCGTCGAAAACATAATACACTTAAACTTTTGTTCTCAAATGGTGTTATTTCCATAGATTATATAAAATCTAGGGAAAATCTTATGGATCCGCTTACTGAAGGCTTATTAAGAGATCAAGTATGCCTATCAAGGAGAATGGACTTAAAACTTACTATGTAAGGATCTTTGTAATTGTAACACAACCTTGCTAACTAGAGATCCCAAGATCTTGGTTCAATGGGATGACTATGTTATGAAGATTCAATGAGCACTTGGGAGTTAATTCTTATCCATTCCTATAATAAGAAAAGTTCTATCTGCAGAAAGTTTTAGGTTAATTTATACTTTAGATGATTCATATATCTTGGACTATCTAAGTGGGGTATCTTAGGTATTCTTAATCGAAGATCACTGATATAAGTGTGAAGTAGGGTTGTTTCTATGAGAATGTTTCAAACGCTTGAATTCTCTAAAACCCTTATGAAATCTAAGAGTTGTTTAGGGTCAACATGTACACAACAGTTAGAACTCGAAAATACTAGGGAAGTTATTATCTTGATACTATTGTCTTGATTTACACCAACTTCTGGCGGTTTAAGACATCGCGTTCACTGATTAGCTAATTAAATTCGATTGTATTTTACTACGGAATGTACAAACATGCAATAACTTTTTGCCTGATCTCTTTGTATGTTTTGCATAATCTATTGCATTAATTTCCATTCATGAGGGGATTATTGAAAAATTGGTTTAGTTAGTTAGTTTGACCAAATTTGACTAATTATTTAAGTGGGTCCAATTAGTTGGACAAAAGATCTCTTGGGTACGAGTCACGAGTTATGGGTTGTGTCGTGGGCTTTGACTTGGGTCAAATTGGTGTGTGTGTGTGTGTGTGTGTATTTTTTTCCCTGGACTTTTCTGTGAGCGATATATGGTGGCTTCTAGAATCTAACAATTCACCTTTAAACTGTCTATCCAAATAGGTTGTTTCTATTCAAGACACAACTTTTCAACTTCCATATATAGGTCTCCATATGCTGGATTATATTATATTCCTTCATTCATGTATTATTCCATATTGTGCATTTCAGTCTCGAATACTATTTTCGTACATTTTATTCCTCCAGCTTTAGAGAGATCAAAACATTAGTATGTTCGCTAGGTCTTGTAATTTGGAGTGCTACTATTATAAGTTGAGATTGTTATATATTGGGATACGAGTGCCTGAAAACTGTTGCACTAGTGTGGGAAATTATCGTTTTAAGGAGAAAGAGTCAAACTCTTGCCTCATCCATTAATCATATGTTTTATTCCATTTATCCTATAAGTCCAAATTCTGCCCAATTTTTTATTCACTATAAAAGATTATTTTGAAAATAATTTATTGCACAGTAAATCGCTAAATACGATAGTATCGAACAAATGTTTCTAACCTCTCAATTGAGAAGGAATAACATAGCACAATAGTTCCCTAAGTCAAAGAATAATTATTTGTAAAATGCATGAACTTAGGATGCATAATATGAGTAATTTTTTTCAATAATTTGCGAACCTATTTTAAAGTGTAGCCTTTTTATGTATAGTAAGTATGTGATAAAGCCAATTTGAGTTGAGGTGAGGCCTTTGCTTCGAGGAAGAGCTTGCTATTAAAATTGAACCATGTGATAAGGCTAAACTGAGCATAGGCGAGGCCCTTACATTGAAGACAAACCTATTGTTGAAGATGAAGCATGTGATAAGACTGAATTGAACATAGGCGAGGCCCTTACACTGAGGGTGAGCTTGTAGTTGAAGAGGCAGCCTTTTATAAGGCTGAATTGAACTTGGGTGAGGCCATTACAGAAAGAAAGCCCATCTGTGA